GACCTAATTGTTCGTGTATGTTTTGTACGCCAAGACATTTCGTTAAAACGGATACGACATTTCGCATCTTCATTCGTAACGATATTATAGCGTAGCGGTTCTCTAATATACGGATGTGCAAACTGGGCTGTCTCGCATATAGTCGTGCGTCAGACCGTCTAACGAGGTGAAATCTGAAACGAAAAACATCTTTTTCATGTTTATATACTCCTGGCGTTATTACTATTATCGCAAACACGAAGCCAAATGCGATGATGTAGTATTTGGACCATGCGGCGACCATCATCGTACTTATACGAGTCGAACGAAACATTTTAGATTCTGGGCGAATCGGAGAATGTATTGGTTTTACTATGATGTATGCTTTTTTATTTTTTTTTTTTTTTGTCTGTAAACCACTTTTCGAAAAGAAATCTTGTTCCGATTTGAGGTACTTTTTCTGAAAGGAAATTCGGTTTTGTTGGTGTATTTGAGAGGATTTTTTTTTGAATTCGAAGGGATTTTCAAAATAACTGAGAAAAAAACGAAAAATATTATAGCAGATAAATCGGCTAATGTTCACGGAATGCCGTGTGCCGTGGCGTTACCGATTTCATTGTTTTTAATTCTTACAACTTATCGTTTCTACCATATAGCGCTAATGGAAAAATGACAAAAGATAGATTTTGTTCCTATTAACATATAGCCTCTGAAAAAGAAAGTCATTTTTTTAAATTTAAAGCAGTTTTCATAATAATTGGGAAAAACGATAAAAGACGAAAAATGTTGACATGAGGTTCATTATAAAATCGTACTTAGTACTTAGTAGTTAATCGAAAAATTTAATATAGTTTAGTAATTTTTTTTATAAGAGTTTTAATATCAAATTTTGACGAAAATCTTAAATATTACTGCCTTTTATAACATGTACAACCAAACTTCGTTCCAAGTTGTTTTTCATTGACAATGGTTTATCGTTGATTACAGGTAAAAATTAAGTAACTTTATTTATCTCGCCTTCCCAACTACTCACCTACAACGGTGGTCGCACCCAACCTGAGTATCAGGTACACAATAAATAACAAATTTTCTACCAGAAATCTTGCTCCGACCAAAAAACTTTATTGGAATTTTCTTGTAGAGTTTTCAATCTATAGTTGGTGCGTTATGCTTTGAGAGGTTTTTTTTTATTTTCCTTGCAGATTCGTTTATGAATTGCGAAAACCTGGTATTTTTTTGTATAACTATTGATTTCTGGTTTACCTTGGTGAAATTGGAAAAAATACGACTACCTAATAATACTCTGATTTTCACTAGCAACGGTTTACAGGTATATCTTAAATTACTATGTTTATTCTCCCCTCCAACTTACTTAGGAGCAATATTAGGATACAGTGGCATACCAGTCAGCTGTATCAGTCTTTTCTTTTTTTAACACTCGGTACTCGTTGGTGTATATATTTACTGAAAAGGAGTAAATCGGGAAAACAAAGTATTTACAGATAAATGAAAACAGCTTTCGTTTTTTTTTAGTTAACGATTTTACAGACATTTATTTATTTTAAAAATATTTTACACATAAAATATATAAAAAGAAGAAAAAAACATGTCAGTCAAAGAAGACTGAACATAATAATTAGACACGTAAAATATAATAATAATAATAATAATACGATAAATATATTATAACGTCAAAATTGATTTTTATTTATTATTATTTTTTTTTTATAATACAAGTATATAATAAAATTAAAATACATAATAATAATATAATATTACAATGTACATTTAATACATAAACATCAAACTTCACAAACTATAGATAGAAAAATCTTTTAATTTATAATAACAACGACATAATTATATTATAATATATAATAACGGTTTTTTTTTTTGTTTTTACTTTTTTAGTATATTAATTATCATATACTAACATAATTTATGTATATAAAACAAATTCGTTGGCTGCTCAAAAAAAAATGGAATAATTAATTTTATTTAGCCAGCCATCCGCATATTGAACGTTTCAAATATTATTTATTTTAGAAATATTTACTGTTTTATTATTATTTTTTTATTTTATGTTTAATAATATAGATTGTCAACCTTTTTTTTTTTTTTTTTAAATAAATAGTATAATATTATTATAGATGCATAAATATGTATTCGGTCGTGTGATGAGCATAATTATTATTATTATAAAATATTATTATGATGGTAAAAATTCTAAATATTGGCCTTCTGTTGTATGATAATATTAGAGTAACAAAAAAAAAAAAAAAAAAAAAAAAAAATCGCTATAACGAACAAACGGAGTCTCAATAATATATGGTAACTTTTCACCAATTGTTGTGGCAATCCAGAGAGCTATGACCTTTGCGCAGGTTCATAATAATATATATCTATTGCAAATTACTATTGGTTTTTTTATCGCCTTTTTTTTTTTTTTTTCTTTATCTCGGTTCGTGTATCGAGCACAGCGCTGAAAAGGTCAAGCCCTACATTATATTATTATACACCGAACATCGAATCATATCTCGTATTAATTCCCCCCTCCTCTCTCCCCCGAACTGCATACTTGTCTGTTAGTAAATATACCTATATAGGTATGGAATCCGAAATCGTTTCCGAGACGTTTCCGCGAAATTATCTCGCAACAGTGTTATTGTAATAATAACGTACGACTGTATTATAATATTACTCGCTCTAAGATTCCTTTTGTATACGACGTTTTATTTATTCATTTTTTTGCGGATGTTATGTACGCCGAATAAATTGCAAAGAAGAATTCGTGAATGATAATAATAATAATAACACAATTAAAAAAAAGATACTGCAACAAGATAATGACAATATTATTATTACCGATCGCAGAATAATTAGGTATTATGTTTCGGTTTGTATAATATAGGAAAAGAGACTACGTTATTATTTATACATAAACCCATTGAGCGATTTACCATTTTTTTTTTTTTAATTTTTTTTTTTTTTTCTGTAGTACAAATACTATAATATAATTTATCGTATACAGATATACAAAAACAAGCTATTATAATATTATTAATCTATAATACCAAAAAAAAAAAAAAAAAAAAAAAAGGAAAAAAAATACGATTAACTTTCAAAATGACAAAAATCTTATAATGCAAGACACCGATGAATGAATGAATAATAATAATAATTGAAAAGAAAAAACAAACATTAATTTTATTTATTTATACTACAAAGATATATATATATATATATATTTAATATTTATACTTACATAGTTTACTTAACAGTACTAAGTTTTGTTAAATAATTTGTTAATAATTTTCAGCGGGTATTATAATGTAAAATATAATAAATAGAATATAGGTAATGTTAGGTAACAGAAACAATGATTTACAAAAAAAAAAAAAATTGTACTAAACCTAATTTCGAATAATTTCGTATAATTTACACGGAAACAACGAAAGAAAAAAGAAAACGAAATATTTATTATTATTTTTTTTTTTTAGCGCGTATACAAAAATATGTCTTTCAAAATAATTTGTAAATATTGTAATATTGTTTCAAGTAATGAATTCGTACCGTTTTAGCCTTAATAAATTTGAATTTGTCCACATAAAATAATAGAAAAAAAAAAAAAATTCCGTTTAGTGTGAAACAAGACTGTTTAAAAAATAACATATACGTTGGAATGCGCATACCATAATATTTATGTATATATATATATATATAAAAAAAAAACAGAAAATAATACGACTGTATAATATATATATATATATATATATTATTGATAAAAAGCGAATAAAATAAATGCAACAGATAAAACAACAAACTATACAATATATTATAATAATAATAGTACAATATAATTATATGGAAAATATAACGCCCGGGAAACGAACACGCCGAAATAGTAACAGTATTACGGTTGTTTGTTCCGCCGACGCATATTTTCGCGAGGAATGTATTTTGTGCGTTATGTTTTTCAATCGTGATTTTAATCAGGTACTTAAAAATGAGTAATATCATATCGATACGATTATTTCTGTACAAGCCCGCGAAGTCGGTCGAGTATATTATAGTTTTACACACAAACGCACACGCACGCACACACAACACGAGAAACGCTATATTAAATAATTACAACATGGATACGTTATCATTACGCTATTTTTTTTTTTACTTTTTTTTTTTTTTTTAACTATACCTACGGAATTCCATTACGATTTAACGAATTTACATACATATTTAATATATAATACGCGTCTATACATTTTGGATTTACACTCGACCATAATATTGAGAAAAAAAAAAGAAAAGAAGAACACAACGCATTGATGAGATAATGATAATAACAACAACAATAATATAATATACAAATACAATGATGCGTGCGATGTCCACACGGATGCGTTTTTTAAATGCTTACGCGACCGCGAGATGTATAACGTCTAATACTCGGAAGGTGAATATTATACAGAGATGAGAAAAACAAAAAAAAGGTAAAAAAAAAAAAAAAACAAAAAACAGTCGTAGAATTTTCTACGTTATAGGACCGTCGAAATGTTTAAATGTCTCCTGATATTATACTCTACGTACGAGACGATCCACACACAATATCGTACACTGTATATGCGTAAATTATAATATATTGTACATATGTATGTATCGTGTATAGCACCAATAATAATAATGTTTACAATGTTAATATAGTTGTGTCCCTGTTTTCGATTTTTGGCGACTTCTTTTGCCGGCGATACAATTAATATTATATACTCTGTGATCCATCGTTAACGTGATAATTTTAGACTTAGAATGCGATTCAATAATGCGAATAATGTGCAGCGTAATAATATATAGTGTGTAACTAAACATGGTAACAGTAGTTTATTAATTTGCTTACCTTTGGGTTTCAAACGCGCAGCACAACAGAATATAATAAACAGAGACATATTACGTATTATTATATAGGTAGGTAGGTAGGTAGGCAGGTAGGTAGGTAGGTAGGTATATTTCGTTTTACGGCGCGTCTACATATGACCGGTGTCGCCCGGTTGGAATCCCATGTGATGCATGTGCGACGAACTTTGCTGTTGTTGTTGTTGTTGTTGTTGTTGTTGCTGTTGTTGTTGTTGCTGCTGCTGTTGCTGTTGCTGCTGGTGTTGTTGTTGCTGTTGCTGTTGCGCCAGCAATGCCATTTTGGTTTCTTTTTTCGTCCTTTGCTTCAGGTGCACCTTGGCGTGTCTCTTCTTTTCGTCACTTCTGGCAAATTTCCGTCCGCACACGTCGCACGTGAACGGCTTCTCGCCGGTGTGCGTTCGAATGTGCGTCGTCAGATGATCCGATCTGGAAAACGACCGCATACATATGCGGCACTGGAACGGTTTTTGGCCCGTGTGTATGCGTATGTGCCTGGTGAGCTCGTCGGATCTGGAGAACCGGCGGTCGCAGTGCTCCACCGGACACGCGTAGGGTCGTTCGTGAACTGGCGTCTTGCTAGGTCTGTTTGGGTACTTCCGGGGTTTGACCGGCACTAGTTTCAACGGCTGCGTCAACTGCTGACACACTTGTGACAATATTTCGTGCCCTTTGCTCGTAGACGGGTTGTACTCGGACAGTCCCGACGAACCCGGTGACTGGACGTCCATCACGTTCACCACGTTCGTGAACTCTTGTTTAGGGATCATTATTAACTGCTGTTGCTGCTGCTGCTGTTGCTGTTGCTGCTGCTGTTGCTGCTGCTGCTGCTGCTGTTGTTGTTGTCCCGGGTAATCGTCGTATGGTTGCTGCATCATTTGGCGTGTGTATATGAGATCTTGGTCGTACGTGGACGGCACTTGTTTATTAAACTCGATAGCCTGCCCGAATCCTACTTGACTCTGTTGAGATCTGTCTTCGTAGTGAGGACTGGAGCTGTGGTACGAGGGGGGCGTGTTTGACGAAAACATAGGCGGTGTGAAAATGTTCTTGTCCGGACTGGAGAAAGTCCACGGGGCGTTTAGGTGGTTGTTATTGTTATTTGAGGAACTTGTTGAGCACGGGGTCGCCGGTTGCATAGTGATAGGGCTGTTAATCGCCGGGAACCTATAACTGATACTGGGTTGCCCCGGGATGCTAGAGTTGGTCGTGTACATGGTGTCCTGTCCGGCATCGTCTTGTTCCGGTTCGCCACCAATAGCTTCGGTCTTCAACTGAAGCGATACTTTTAACTCGTGGTGTTCTACGGAACTCCTGTTGCTGCCGTTCTCATTGGCGTCTTGCAATGATCCTGGAAAAATAAACAAAATAAATCGTGACGTTATTTTTTTTTTATTACATTTTATAAAAGTCAGTATAATAGTCAAGTGCGTACGTACTAAAAAATCAAGGGCCCTTTGATTTTTCCGAGGGGAGGGTGTGGGGTGGGGTGGGGAGGGTAAAGGCGATGTAATATTTTAGTCGTATTTTTCAATAATATTGACCTTTTCGCTGTATACGAACTGCAGTTACCCGTGTTATGTACCGGGAAGCCAGGGGAGACCCTTTTGCCATCCGCATCCCTCAACGGACGCCCGTCATTATATATATATATAGGTACTTCTAATGGAAATCTATTATGTTCTCCGTCGTCATTTTTGAAAAAAAAAAAAAAATTCATATTCGAGTAATATACGCGTTCGGCTGTATAATAATAATAATAATAATAACAAAAAAAAAAACACGACACGTGTTAGCGGTTATGTTTTTGTAAGAAATAAAATACATTTTGGATTTCTGCCACCATTTCACGTATTATACGTTTACACGTTTAATAATAACTACGCGCTAGTTATATTTCATATAGTAATATATATTTCATCTACGACTCCGGGTACAAAAAACCGAAATTTCACCGATTGTTGCAATCCGTTACCGCGGGTACTGCAGTGTACAGTAACATTTGTCTTTGCTACACTCATTTTTCCCGTGTCTGACTTTTGTCCATGTTACTGTTTTTTTTGTTTTTTCATTTCATTTCGCGGATAAATATTTCGTTGATTTACCGTAAATTATCGTTACTAACGATGTTTAAGCGAATAACAACGATAATCGTTATTTCAAGAGAAACGCTAAACCTTTTCGTCGCAAAAGCCCCGAAATCCCAACGTTCAACAACGGGGTTCCTTTCGGGGCGGCAAAATAAATATGATAACGTTTTCGGGTCGGCGTGGTTTTAAACGGTGCGTTACGATCGGTTTCGATTGGAAACATCGCGTAAACGCCGCGATCGCATTTTCGGGGGGGGGGGGGGGGGGGGTCGGAGAAATTGGCCGACGAGACCGCGCGCGTGTACGCTGTTCACAGCCGTCACGTGAAAATATCGCAATTATATCGCGTCGATTGTGCGCGTGCACGTTTTACCAACGGCGATTTCCGCGTCCCGCGCGCGCCGGGGTTCAACGCGTCGAACTGCGTCGTATTACAATTGCAACAAGCATTGCACGTTTGTACGTGTTGCGCGACGGGGAATTCGACTCGAAACGGCACTGGCGGTGTCGCGTCCGCGCGCGCGCCCACCTGAAGCGGCAGCGGTACGCGCGACAATAATCGATCGTTTATTACGTTTGTTCGCCGTTCGAGTTCGCGACGTGGAATTTTTCGATAAAAATTCGCGCACGGGCCGCGAACGCGACGCGTAACGTTTCCGCGTCCAGAATTCAGATCCTCCGCACGCCGGTACCGCGTACGCACGACAAGTAACACGACTGTTTGTGGTTTTCGAACGCGGGCGCGCGAGCACAGGTACACGCGGGAGCGTAATACACATATTTTTCGGATTATCTCGACGGCGACGACAACTGGTTTGTGCCGCGATGGCGAATTTGTTTTTTTATTTTTTTATATATACGTGATTTTTTTTTTTTTTTTTATTATTATATTTCTCCGTCTTTTTAACCCATTCTGAAAACCAAAAAAAAAAAAAAAACCCATGCGACCATTGCGACGGCTCCGCACGTACATTATAATGTTGAGCACGTATCACACGTATGTATATATATATACACGTACACGCATAATATCCGCTGCATCAGAGATCCTATTAGAGGCATATATTATTCGTTATAATCCGTGAAAATCCCGCGCCACTCGTTATATATATATAATTTAATGTTATGTGTTCTACAAAGCCTGCGATAGTGGAGAAAAAAACAACCGTTTCCCGAGCCAAGTATTTCCCATTTTTTTTTTTTTTTTTTTTTTTTTTAATCGAACGAAACGGAAATAAAACTGGTGCAGTTTTAAAATATACATATGTATATATATATATATATATATATATATATATATACCGCGTATATAATAGACGTTAAAACAACACCAAGAACAATAAATAATGATTGAAATCGTTTAAAATAGAGAGATAGACAGAAAGAGAGAGAAAGAGAGAGTGAGAGAGTGAGAGAGAGAGAGAGAGAAAGAGAGAGAGGTGTGAGAGAGAAACTAACAATTAAGACTTTTTGATCAATATTGTTTATATTGAGTTATTTTTTTCTATTTTTTTTGTTTTATTTCTTTTGCTTTACATTATATTGTTGTACTTGTATACGCATTCTTCTGTGGTTCTCAAAAAAAAAAAAAAATAAATAAAATAAAATATGTATATATAAAACAACTGACCCAGTGGTTTGTAGACTATATTGGGGATCACTATATATCGGCGGGCGCAACCACATGCTGAGTGTTTAACTTAAGTTTTTTTTTTTATACGAGTAAACAACACTGCCACAAAAACTAGAATACATTATTATTATTATATTACACACACACACATATATATATATACGAAAAATATCAACGTAATACGGAAAACGTCACGTTGTAAATCGTGTTTTAGAGTTCGGAGAATAACCGCCATGTTGCCCGCAGTACGGGATATACGCATATATTATAGTACAATAATGTATAAATGCCGCGACATTTTTTTCCATCGTACAATATTATAATAATACGCAATTTCGGATTTCACGAAAAAGTAAAAGCGTATAGTCGTACGTCATGATTTATAACGTAAAGTGTTTGAACACTGCAAGTATACTGTGCACGGATAATGGAGAAGATTATTACATTATATCGCCAATATAAATGTTCGCCTTGTTGTTATTGTATTTTGATTTACCATGGTGATTTTGCCCGAGTATATTTTACCGTAACATAAAGTGTGTCCATACACTCGCAAGTGCCATCGCCTAGTGTAGAGTTAGTGCCCTCTAGTGGTTGGTAAATGTGCCACGGTCTCAGGCCCCGACCGATAATTGTTATTGATTTAAAATTAAAATATGTATCGACCACTATACTGTAATATCGACAAATCCGTTTGTCGTATCTACGACTATCTGGTTACTCGAAAAATATGCCCCGTAGAGCGGTGAGAGTATTTTTGTTTTAGAAAACCCAAAGTGTCTTCATTGAATTCCGTTTGTCCAACCAATATTTCAAAATTGAGTCTGAACTTTTTTTTCTAGATCGTTGGTCTTTGAAATTAAATTTTAAAAAATCCGTGTTCAATACGCATTTACAATATTTATTGCAACTCAACATTGACCAAACAATTCAACGGGTTTGCATATAGGCTGTGGAAATCGAACAACACTATTATATTGTTATAGTATACGATAGCGGTGGATTTAACGTGTTTTTTTACCGGAGTCAATGGACAATATAAGCCTAGGCCTGTACCTTAGTTGTATAAAGCCGTCACCCGATCAAAATGCCTTGAAAATGAAACTTTTGATTTTTGCGTCACGTATAGCTGTAGTAAAAATATTACAAAAATGTATAAGGTACATAGATATTGCATTTGTATGGAATTTGTTTCATTACACGCGACGTTCCGAAATCGAAGGATAACATTCACATGTTTTTCAGTCGTAATAATTATGAAGTATCGCTCGAAATGATACACGTACTATATATTTTTAGGTCTATAATACGCGCTACACAATATTATAATATATAAGACCATCGTTGCGGTGAATATCGCACGCGCGTCGGCGTTGGTCGAGTGCCAGATTGTATGTAGTACATAATGGACGATAATATGTTTAAATTTTTGAAAAAAAAAAAATTTGTTTTCATCTTCCCGGCTGATGTATATCAAAAAAAAAAAAATTGCTCGGTCGCTATACCTTTATGATATTATAATTTCCCCGACGGCGGTCATATGGGATGTACACAGGAACACATACAACTAAAATAAAAACCAACAGTCCGAATCGGCCGAGACGATAAATTTGCATTCGATAGAAGCGGACATCAGAGTACTCGTGCGATAATAATAATTACGTTTCGGAAAGTTGTAATATTTTATTTACGTAATCGAAAACATTATAATTTATTGCGCAGTCTCTCGGGATCGCGCGATTCGTTTGTCGGACGGTAGCCGCGCTGCAGCGCCGCACTGCATGCACCGTAGTGTAATTACAGGGTGCGACCGACGTTGGTATACGCGAGTGCGTTTATTTATTATGTACCTGCGGTCGAATTATATCGCCGTAAATCGATACGAACGCCCCTTCACCCACCCCCTCCCCCGTCGTCGCGGTTTAATAAAAAAAAAAAAAAAACACTACGTTAATCAATATTACCGTCGGAAACGCGTATATTATTTTTACGCACACTGCTACTACGCGCGTATTATCGCGACGAAAACGCGATGTGAAAAAGCATTTATTATAATGATAAGGATATTGGAAGGAGAGGCAATCTCATACATCCCGTACACAGTATTGGCGGTACGGTAACGACGGTGAGACTGTGGCGCCCAGGAATTTTCGACGGGATGTAACAAATAAGATTCGCGAACCAATCGTAAAATTGTCTTCTCTGTTCGCCCCGACTTTGGGAATTGGCAATTTAAACGCCTATAAAAAGCCAATCGCTAATAAATACAAAAAGCTTTTCCCCGTAACTCGGATGAAATGTATACTGCGTTTCGAGATGAAATTACTGAACAAACGCTCTTGTTTTTTTTTTTTTTTTTTTTTTTTTTTTTTTTTTGTATTTTTAAACCGACGGGGAACTGGGGAGAATAAAACCGTTGCGGAGGTGATGGTTTTAAGGCTCCCTCCCGTTCGCGCGCCACCGAAAACTGTTATAGGCATATAATAGATGATAAAAAAAAAAAAAAAAAAATAAATAAATAGCGTCGGTATCGGAAGACTGCGACGGCGTAGGTTTAGTTTTCGCATAATACGGCACCTAACTCGTTCGGCGTTGTACATAGAAAAAACGAAATGTAAACAAACGGTAGCGTCACTCCTGCCGCTATCGGTTCAAGACTGCGGAAATTTAGTGGGCTTCAGGCGGCCACGTCCCGTTCGGGGACATAACCGAGAATCGCGATTATTGAATAAAACACGTGAACACGCGAGAATAATAACATAGGTGGTATCGCGTGACGGGATTTATTCGTGTTCGTATGGATTTATTTTTTTTTCCGTCGTTTTTTCGCCGTCTATTGTGCGCGGCACAAAAACGCTTTACGTTTATAATTTTAATGAATTTCCGACGGCGGATTTAGATTTTTGTTTTTTGTTTTTTTTTTTTTACATTTGTACAAGTGGTCGCGGTTGTTCGGTCAATAAAGTGAAATTCGATTTGTCAATTACAGACGCGACGCGGCCGTGTCCGCGGCCCCCGGCATCGTTCGCCCCGCAGGTACGGCGGCGGCGCCGGAAAAAGGGACGCGCGCGTCAATGGACGACGCGGACACGGGGGCAGTAAAAGCGCGGTGCGCGTGCAGGCCGAGACGAATCCGACGGGCGTCTCGCCGTCAATAATAATTGTATTGTATGTGGACGACGATGTGTAGGGGACCGACAACCTTTCGGGCGAAAATGACGTACACGCACGCGCCCCGAAACGCTGTACATTGTACGGCGGAGTATTCAGTGTTGTACAGGTACGCGAAACCTGCCCGCGGCGGCGGCGGCGTCAGGGCCGGACGGCGAACGGTCGTTCGCATCACTCCCAGAAAGGTTACGGGACATAATATGCGTGTACAATGGAATACGGTCGTCTCGGACGTCTCTCGGCAGCAGTGGCCGCCGACTTTTATCGATCGTCTCGGGCGCGAACGTCTTCACCGCCCGGGGGGGGGTGGGAGACAGAAGGTTGGGCGAGTGGGGTCCGCGCGCGTGACGCCGCTCGTTCGCGCGGTACATGTATATACACGCAACGTCCCATTCATGGGTCGTCGAGAGGGAAAACGCGCCGGCACCGCCGCCACCTCGTCAGCGGGACGACGGCGACGCCGCGTTCCCCCGGCCCGCCGCCGCGCGGCCCTTCGCCGTTATACACACCTATACAACGCGTCCGCGTGTGCGAGCGTATTGATTCCCGGCGGTTCGCAATGCCACGGCCACCGCCACACCACACCCCGCCGTCGTATTTACTCGCGGCACACGCAGTCCCGCCATTCGTCGGGTCCATTCAACCGTATCGCGCGTCACGTTCGCACGGCCCCCTCCCTACCGGTCCCCGGGAGTCGGTGACCTTATAACAGGGATGACGGGATTCGCAGCCACTTTCGCAACGGAAACGGGGTTTTCGGGAACAGATAGAGAATACCGAAATACACGTTTCGGGAAAAACTTCAAACCGCAATATGACGAATCAATTTTTATTTTTTTTTTTTTCACAGCCCAATATTTAACTCTTCAGATTTGAATAACCAATCAATAGTTGTACGGGATTTATCCGGAAAATTACCCGAGATACGGACACGTTCATAGTTAATGCGCGGATAAAAAAAAAAAAAAACCCGATTTTTATCCTTTTTATCACATTTTAAGACGTCTAGGTTACCACGTATACGTGCTTGTTTGTAATCATTTTTACGAGTAATTTTAATAATACTTAACAAAAGTATAAATTGTTTTCGCTCTCCCCCTGGTTATAAAACGTCCGAATTAATTTCCCCCGCCCGAATTGCATACGCTGCTACTCCCCTGCAGACGCGTCGTTGTGTATAAATCGCAAAGACAATTAACTTATAGTGGACGCTGCAGCGGTGCCTGTCGAGCGTTCGGGTTTATGGATTTTTTCATTCTTGTTTTTTTCGCGTTGGACGCAATTTGTTTGAAAGTATTATTACGATAGCTATTCCGCGAAATTCGTCCGGGTGTGTGTGTTTGTGTGCGTGTTTTCGGGGTAAACGGAAAATTAGAACGAAAGGGAACATATTTCATTCACCTTTGCCGCTGCCACCGTCGTTGTCGGTCGTCGCGAAATCAATGAACGAAATAACTGCGGCGGGGGGGTCACCGCCGACCGGCCGGCGGACTTGCGAGGCCGAGAGGATACCGTGGAAATCGTTTTTCCCCCATTACATTTTCATTCATAAATACGCGCCGCCGCGTTTACGTATGAATACATATTAAACGGCCGCCGTTTTCAGACGTGATATTATTTATTTATTTATCTATTCAACACAGGCTGAAGCCAAACGATATAATGAGTATACAAAAATAGAAACTAAACTAAAACTAACTTAAGGACTAGAAATAACTTAAACCAACTGCCCGCGCTTAAACGCTAGATAATTATGATTAACGTGAGAAAGGGCGACTATAAAAGCTGATAAAGGATGGATCGACGGGTTAGCTGCGTGCATTAGTCTGTTAATTATGGAATTATTGAGAAAAGACACCGGAGAGTATGGATCATAGAACGGCACAGATAAGCGAGTGAGACGGGTTGTTTGAGAGAAATTAGCGATAGGAGAATAGAGATTACCAATTATGAAGAAGCACAATATTTCCCTCCCATAAATAATTATAACAATCCCATTAAAGTATAATTACCGTATCCTGTATACAACTCTCGAATTTTATAAACTATAACACAATATCTTATATTTACTTAATATTTACCTAATAAATCGGAATGTACCTACCTCATTAGTTACCTAATGAATTGTATACCATTGTGTATACACATATTTTTTAGTGGGATGTTTAGCGCGTATGTCTGTAAAAACAGCGACATTTTTACTGTGCAATATACATGTACAGAAGTATAATTATATTAAACGAGCGTGTAAAATATGTTGTGTATGATATATTTGCGGTATTTATATAATTATATATTATCATGTTTTTTTTTTTTTTATTGCTGTTTTCAAAAATTGTTCTAAAAAAAAAAAAAAAAAAAATATTCGAGTTACATACGACTTACCTAGCCTAAAAGTATAACGATTGTGCGTACCTATACTCGTATGGACATCGATACAAATATTAAATGCTTTAAAAAAGTGGAATAAAAAACCCGAAGCGAATAGTTAATTATAAACAATGCGGATTTTTTACCTGTTATAAGTGGCGGTTCTACGACCGTGGACGGCCCGAAAAAGGAAGGTACTTCCGCGCTGGTGGTGACGGGCGTGTTGAGATCGGTGCCGGCGTTTCCCTGTGCCGGGCTGTGGCACGCCGAGCTACCGGTCCCGTGTACGCTGTTACCCACGTGTCCGTCGGTGCCGGTGGCCATGCCGCCTTTGTACGTCTCGAAACTCAGCACGTTGACGTAGTGGCCGGATCCCGCCGTGGCCGTAGTGACGGCGGCCGCAGACTCACCCAACAGGTACGGATTATGGTGATGATGGTGATGGATGTGGTGCGCCGCGTGATGATGTGGCCCGACGCCAATAGGCTCCAGGGCCGCGCACTCCATGATCATATCGGCTTCGGGCTGTTGTTGCTGGTGCTGGTGCTGTTGGTGCTGCTGGAGCTGATGTTGCGGGGCCGCCGATGCTGCACCTACGGCACAAGCGTCGCGCCGGTCACAATTATTATTGTTAGTAGTGCAGTTGTTGGTGGCGGGGTCTTTCGGATGACGATCAATTATTGGGCCCGACGGTGGCGACTCCGGCGACGATTCGATCAGTTCGATGTCGTGGAACGGGTACCAATCGTCAGGGGGCGGCGACCACGAGCTGGGGGCCAGGGGCACGCGAATCACACACCTGGACAGTGCCAGGCCTGCGCTTGGGGTTCGCTTGGGGCACGGTAATGTGGAAAAAAACGGCGAGTCGGCTACACGCGAGTGGCGCACGGCACGGCGTATAATAGCGGTGTAGCTGTGATAGGTTATAATACGTGCGGAGTTTATCGGCGAGTTTTCGCGTTAATTCGCGTGCGGATTTATCGCGGCAACGGCGACGAAAAAACAAATTCGAATGTACAACAATGTTATTGTATTATGATTTTACGGGGGCGAGCGCACACACCACTCGAGTAATACGCGTAAGAAAAAAAAAAAAAAAAAATTAACAACACGGCTGTGGCGTCGGCCGCGGTATAGGCGTACTATGGTAATACACTCACGCACACGGTCACGCACACGCACGTGATGCTGGCGCCGGTCGACTTGTTGAACTGAAGGCGCGCGCGACGCGTGTGTCGGATACGGCGGCCGTACACTGAAAAAGCGAGCGCACTGCCCATAGCGCGCGCGGGGCGACGTATAGCGTCGTTTTATGAATGAAGCGCGTCTCTGTCCCATATATGGAAACGGGCGCCGGGTGCGGGGCGGCGGTGGTGGGGCGGCGGTGGCGGCGGCGCGGGGCCGGGCGGACGGCGGCGCTCGGGCCAATGGCAGCCCGCCCGTAACCGTGACGTCGGCGTGACGTCACTCGCGACGGCCGACCTGCCGCACACGCACGAGTCGTCGCCGCCGTCGTCCTCTTTGGGGGGGGGATGGTAGGAGGGGTGGGCGCACTGTGATGGTGGTGTCCGCCGCCGTTGCCGCCACCGCCGTCGGAGGGGGGGGGGAGATCCCGCGCGCTTCCCCTCCACCCGGACCATACATTACAATCCCCCCCACCCCTCAACGTCGTCGTCGTCGCGAAAACCCTCAGACGCTTTGCATCCCTCCCACCGTGGCGGCGGCGGTCGCCGGTCGCACAAATAATATCGTTCCAAATACGCGCGTTTGCATACGTTATTATTGAGTAGGTATATGCCATTTTTTTTTTTCCCGAATACTTTTCACTCGACGCGCAATCGATTTGCTGCCGCGCCGCCACCTCGCCGCCTTGTGCGTTATTCCGCGATTATTAATTTAACGCTACCACTTTCACGATTTTTATTGGCCGGATTCGAGTCGGGTGTGCGTACACGATTTAAAATTTAAAACAAAAAAAAAAAAAAAACTATCGTTTATAACGGTTACAATTTTAGATTCTGAGTGTAGCGACGAATGTACGTTTATTATTATTATTTTTTTAATGTGTACAAAAATTCTACCAGTAATCTCGCTCCGATGCATACGATATGTAAACTTTTCTGAAAGGAAATTTTCTTGGGGTGGTACTTTAGGGAGGTCATTTTTCAATTTTGTCAGGAGTTTGAGTTTTCTCATTGAATGTGAAAAACCGAATTAAAAACGGGAAAATGTACGAATTATATTAGTAAAATATTACAACTATTTTCTGTGGAAACTATTCTAATAACGATTTTGCTCCGTTTTACAATGGTAGCACATTTTCAGAAAGGAAATATGACTGGGGAGGTACTTTAGAAAAGTCATTTTTCGATTTTCCCAGGAGTTTTCTCAACAAATGGGAAAAACCAGGAAAAAAACATGGGAAAATCGGGAAAAACCTATGAAAAACGGGAAAATCTGATCAATATTAAATAAATATTATTAAAAAAAACGTATAATACCTATTTATTTATTTTACCATAATATGACACATATATTGTTGACAAAGCATCACTATCAACTGAACTCCGCTTAGAATTGTTTTTTCGTTACCAATGGTTTATCGTTGCTTACAAATATACATTAAATTCCCTTCTGTATCCTACTTTCTCAACTTCTCACCTACAACAATGGTTGCACCCGTCCCCATTATCCTAGGACAAAACATTGGCTATCAGTCTATCACACATCGAATTCTTATCGCAGTTAAAACGGAATCGATGGATTTCTTCGTGGTACGTATATTTCAGGAGAGTTTCCTCTTTTTTAGATTGCATTTATAGTTACAACAATGCGTATATAATTATACGCAGTTGAAATTTCCTAATTTCTATTTTATTTTAATGTTTTACTTTGTATCCGTTTCTATTTATCGCGCATTTTATAAATAAAAGAAGAATTAATCGAATACGGAAAATCTCTGTATAAAACTTTCGATTAACTGTATTATTATATTATTGTAAATGGAATATGACGCCGTGCCCTAGGAATTTATTATCTATTTGGTTGTCCTTGGGAGAAGAGCTTAAAAATATATTTATTTTTTTTATAGTTTAGTCTATTGTAATTTTTTCCCTTTTGTCGCGTGGTCTATACTGCATAAGCAGATACATTTTCAAAACTTAATTTGCTCGTTTGGAAGTTGAACGACATTGGCTTATCCCCTTCTTCACTAAAAATATAATACATTGCACAGTACAGCTTTATTTCAATTGAATAATATAATAGAATAATGGAGCTATAATATATATATATATATATATACTGTGTACTATTATAATAAACTATTAATAATATCCATTAATGACGTATTTTACTGTGATTTTCAGCGTAATTGTGTTGCAACACACGTCGACAATAATAATATAGTTTCCTGTGCCTTTTCAAAGAAATATAGTCGTTAGTAATAATAAAGCAATTATATATATTTATATATATAAAAATTGGGTTTTTATTTTTTACAAAATCTAGAAAAAAGTATTTTGAGTCAAGAGCGTCCGGACAATAACGATATTATATATTAGATATATAATATATAACTAAACAGCTATTAAATCTTTAAATTATTCTCCCGCCGATGTCTGTATGTTCACGCCATAGGCATAGGCATTTATTATTACAAAATATAAAGAATATTGATATTTTATTTTTATAATCTAAGATAGCTATTTTATAAAGTAATTTTTAAAAAAAATTATTGGTCTTGAAAACTGTCAATTAAGTTACGTTATTAATTTTTAGAGTTTGTTAAAATTAAAATTTTTTTTTTTCAAGAAATAATTTGTTATCGCTAACAATCAATAAAATTTATGATATTATCATAATATAATATAACCATATGGCACATATCCGTTACACGCATATAATGGCCAAAAAGATCATTTTTAAACAACGCTATAATAACATTGAAGTATATAAATATAATTCTCTCGCGTCTGAAATGTTGGAATCCATGACAACTGGAATTTTAGATTGTTATTGAGAAACGCACAACAAACCTTAATGATGCACACTTTGAAAATTATTTATATCAGTTATTTGATTGTATAATTCATATTTCTTTTTTTATTTTATTTAATGTTAACAAATAAAACTTGAAAAATTAAACGTACAGAAATATATTTTTCTAACGATAGTTTACATTCGACTGACAGAAAATGTTAAGCGTACAGTGGCGTATTTAGAATTTTACCAAGGAGGGAGATATTGAATTTTGGAATATTTTGTTTTATAAATTGCATAATGTGTACCTATGTTAGCTAAAAACAAAAAATAATCCAATTTTAAATTTATATATTTTTATTACAAGTATTTTATAATTCAATCTTTCCTGACATAAACATTGACATATTCTGTACATTAATTATTATTATCAGTTTAGTTTTGGTTCGAATAGATTTCGTTTTTAACAAGAAAATTTACCTATAGTTAAGGTTTTTTATTTTTTTGAACTATTAACTTGGCACCTATAACAGTACATTTTTGATTTGCCCATTGAAAAAAAATTCGAATTTGAAAAATAGGTATGCATTCATATAAATAATAACTTCTTAAAAAAAAAAAATGTATCCCTGATCTTCCATCTTAAATACGCCGCTGTAAGCGTATATGAGACACACAGCTTAAATTAATAAATTAATAAATAATTAATTAATATGATTAGAATATTATATCAACCTGTACAATATTCATGGAAAAAACAAATTAACCATTTGAAAATTTAAGTACGCAAAAAATGTCATATTTTTAGCAAAACTTTAAAATTTGTTTAAAACTAATTTATTCGAAAGTTGTTGACCCAGGGCCTAAAATACATTTGATTTCGGGGGACACACTTCTTAGTTCAATTGTGACTTTCGACGGGTTTCCATAGCAATAAAAAAAAAATCTGTGGGGGTCGTAACACCCGAAATCATCCCCCCTTTTATACACAGCTTACTTTACATATTTATATTATTTATATGACGTTTGGACTAAAAATATATAGTGAAAATTAAAAATTACATGAATACACTGTCAGAACAATAATAACTATAATAAGCTGTTGTCACAAATTCGAGATTACTAACACAGTACTTCGTATATTTATAGACAGAAAGTATATTCGTTATATTCACGATTAAATATAGTATGTCTGGGTTGTATAACATTTATAACCGTCGACCACGGTTAAAGTTTATGGTATATTTGTATAATATTGACAACGTAGAAGTTGTTATTAATTTACATTGAGATAAACAAGATTTATTTGTTTCGAAATCCCAAATTGTTTGTTATTATTGCAATTAAAATTGAAAAAACATTATTAAAGACGCCCTGGGTTAATGAACACTAGTACAGCCAACCATTACTTACGAAAAAAACGATTCTGAACAGAGTTCAGTTGATAGTGATGCTTTGTTAACAATATATATTTATGTCATATTATAGCAATATAATTAAATAGGTTTTATTGTAATTTCTTTAATAATATTTCTTTAATGTTATACCGATTTTCCTGGTTTTCCTACGAACTACAATTTTATATTTTTTATTTCGAATTCTTGAACATTAAAATTTAACTAAAAAATTATTTAAATTATAGCGCTAGGTTGTAATAATAATTTAAAAATGTTTAAATATTCAACAGAAAAAAAGTTATTATATATTTTTTGTTAAATATAATTGGAAATTCACGTACCTAATATACATATTGGCAAGACATTTTATACATTTTCTTGCTTTGTATATTTTATAAAGCCGTATTTTAGTGTTTTTTTTTTTTAAATTCAGATCGACGAATACATACAACTATACGAATAATAAATATTATATTATTATTTTGGGCAAAGTATTTATACGACATAGGTAGCATTCTTTTTTGTATACCGATTTGAAGTAGGTATACAATATACACGATGTATACCGTCTGCACGGGCCACGGGGCCAACGACTTTAGTTCGCGAATAATATTATGACGCAAATGCGTATTTTCGTTCACGCGGAACAGTATTTCTCCACGGTATTGCAGTTAGTACCTATATTATAGTCGTTTGCAGAGTGTTGAGATTTTTAACATTTATAATATTTCTAACGATGCGACTAGCAGTTATTAGAATATTTGCGCTTTGCGCTGCGATTGTGTTACGATCATATTTTACTATATTCGAAATGTAAATTGAATTAATATTATAATATTGTACATAAGCTGCAGCGTTTATAATACTTTATTGCATTAATATACACAGAGGAATTCGTTGATATTTTTAAATTCTGAACGCAGCGAGTAATGTATTGGTTATTATTATTATTTTAGATTCTGAGGGGAGCGAGGAATATATTGGTTTTATCAATAGTGTTTTGTTTTTGGTTTTTTTTTTTTTTATGCGAACACTTTTTCTACTAGAAAGCATACTCCGATTATCAAGTATAGCACTATTTCTGAAATGAAATGTTCTCCGGGTGGTACTTGAAAGAAGTCATTTTTTGAAATTCTCATTAATATTTGACATTTTATTTATTTTTTGTTATTGTCAAGTTTTTATTATTTTAAATCTTTTTTAAACAATACTTGTTGTCATAGAAACGCTCATTGTTGTAGTAATTTTACTATAATATGACATGTATATTGTTAACAAAGAAACACTATATCAACTGAACTTCGCTCAAAATCGTTTTTTCGTTAGCATTGGTTGATTACCGATGTATACTAAATTCCTATCTGTATCCTAACTTCTAACATCATTCCTACAAAAGTTGCTGCACCCATCTGCGAAGTATGTCCGTCCTTTTTTATTATTATTTTTTTTCTGTGGACAACTTTTCTACCGGAAATTTTGCTCCGATTATCAAGTGTAGTATTTTTTCTGAACAAAAATCTTACTGGGGTTGATACTTTAATGCTATTTTTTGATTTTCTCAGAAATTTTTATAATTAATGGGAAACACCGGGAAAAAACGTAGGAAAAATGGGGAAATTTACGAAATGTATTATTTTCAAATTGTAAATAATACGGCCTTTTAAAACATTTATAACCGAACTCCGCTCAGAATCAATTTTCATTTGCAATGATTAATTGTTGCGTATAGGTATATATTAAATTTGCCCTCTACCTCCCAAATTCTGACCTATATCAGTGACCCATCGTGCGAAGTATGTTTTTATTTTTTTAAACTTTCAATGCATTCGAAAATTGACATAAATATAAATAAACGGTTTTCAGACAGTATAATATTAAGGTAGCTGTAAATTTATATAGGCAGGTATTATATACTAACAGTGCCCATGATTAAAGAAAAATGCAGTTAAAGAACATATTTTAATTTTATCGGTATTCCAGTAGGTTATTTTTTACGGGGCTATGGTACCATTACTTTTTATTTTATTTTTTTTTTGTTTTTAAACACTAGGTTTTGATGTTAACAAAAGTATTCCGCGCCTTTGAACAATTTTAAGGTTTAGACAATAATTGACTCTGTATATAGTGTCTATAATATAGTGTTGTTCTGTTCCCAGGGACGGGAAAGTGCTTGGAATGTTATAATTTATAATGTTTTATTACAAATTTACTTTAAAAGTTTAAATAATATATTGTATTTTATACGAGAGGCACTCTAAGACGTTGATTACTTGAGCGTTTCAGGATTTCTTTGTTTTATCAGATTTTTTTTTTTGGTGATATTGTGTTTTCCAGAACTTGATAATTTTTTTTAAGATTTTTGAAATGATTTCTTAAAGTTACGAGTATCGGTTTTAGAAAAAAAATTGTATTATTTGATTTTTATTTTACATGCAATTACTAATATTTAAGGTGAGATCATTAAATAAAAAAAATATCAGAAGAAAAAACTAAAACACTACTACTTTTTGCAAATTAAACATTCTAAATTTTATCACTCGTTGAGTCTTTAAAGGAAAATGTTTTGATAGTTTTAATAAATTGACCCTTTTAACAGCCCTTAAGTATTTTTTCAAAGGTTGATTATATTTTTCACTCGTTTCTTATCTAGTTACAAAGATAATGGTTATGCTTGTGTAGTGAGTTACACTTGAAATAACACACAGTTATGTTTACAACAATATTATTACGGAATAAATACAAAGAAAACGGTGTTTTACAAACATTATTACTTAAAATACCAATTACCCCGTGTCATCCTCTCCGTTTATGGTTTAAATACAGTGGCGGCGGATGGTGGAGGGGTTGCGCGAAAGCGACTTTTACGTTATTTCCGGGTCTGTGCACCTACATGCAAAGTTTCAGTTCGGTCCGTTCGGTACTCGTGTGGTTCGGACCAGAAGCGGTAACAGACATACATCCATCCAAACCGACTTTCGCGTTCGCAATATTCGTTGGGTATTATAATATAATAATAATAATAATAATAATACGCTATAGGTTCGAACGTCGTCGTCGTCGTCGTCGTCGTCCGTCGCGTTATATCGCCGTCGCTCTGCTCTGTTGCACGCGAGTGTCGAGAGATCAGAGTGCGCGGCTCTCTCGGATAACGGATATATTTGTAGGTCAGTACAATACCGATTGCTGTATAACAATATTCTTATATACAATAAAATATCGGTCACTTTGCCAATAAGTATACGCAAGCACAATAACACGCGACCACACGGCCGAACCAAATGCGACCTACATATACGTTATTACAATAATGATATTTGTGTTTATACGCGACGATAACAATATTTAGTATTTTTATAATTTGTTAGCGGCGAGTATCGGCACCGTCCCGCATACTGAGGACATCCGAGGTGTTTTTTTTCCGCCATTCAAAAACGCTAATTTTCTAGGAAAATTTCTCTGGAATATTTATAAAAAAAATCGGGTTTTCGACCGAGGTGTAGCAATGCAGTTTAAGAGCCAACACAAGATTTCTGATTTCAAGTATATCGTGGCCGGATATCGGTTCTATACCGGTAGCACATATCGGAATATCGGATATCCGGAAAAAATTAATCGCTAATAATTATAATTATTGTGTTTTTTCACCCCTCCCCCCTCGAATATTCGTCTCCGAAAATTGAGATTATTACATTGTATTATTGTGTCTGTTATTACATTTTTCCCCGGTGGGACGTTTTTTGCAGCTTCCTCTGGACCAAATGATTTCAAGATCGGGAATTTTTGTTTTTTTATAGACGGATTGGAGTTATACAATTTTGGTCGAATTTCAATATGAATTTCACCATGCTGTTGCGGGGAAAGGGTGTTTTTTTTAGTTTTTTACACCGGTAAGAACTCTCCAATCAAGCTAGGAGGATGAAATTCTGTGTATGGTGTAAGTATTGATGCGTTTTTTAGTTGTTTCAACTGCAACGGCCAACACGTTAGCTGACAAATGTGATTAGTGACAGAGCTCTTTTATACTCATGTGTTTTTTTTTAAATAAGTATTATATTGTGTGGTATAGGTACACGCGTTTTCGCTTGCGCCAGCGTCTATAATATTATAGTGTGTACCGATATTATACAGTCTCGGAATTTTTGGACGTCCCACGGAATACGGTTTTCGATTCTAAATTTAATCTGGCCGACAGCCCGACCAGGTTATTTCTAGTCGCGTGACTAATAAAAAAAATCACCATGTTCACTGTACGCGTGCACCGTAGTGTGATCATTCCCTCCCCAGGTAATGCTAAATTTAAATCCTTTAAACGGAAACCCCTATTTTTCCAAGCAATATTGGTCAATACAATACTCGAGACGAAATACTCGAGGCATCAACAGCTATCTTGAGTCGATTTTAATGTATCGTGATTTTTCGTAAAGTTTAAAACGTGAATTTAAAAAGGATGAAATTTGATTTCTAGCTGTTTTACTATAAAAAATAAGTTTTAAATATACACGTCCGTAGTAATGTATTATGCTTTTCACCGTTTTTGAAAATTTGAAAAAAAAAATCATATTAAATTCAGTGCGTAGTAATCTATCTATTTATTTTACTGTGATGTGTGTGTTTTGTTTGTCTGTAAACAACTTCTTGAAAAGAAATCTTGCTCCGATGTATCATGTGAAGTACCTTTTCTGAAAGGAAATTTTATTTTATCGGTGCATTTTTTGATTTTCTGTAGGTTTTAAAAATAATTGGAAATAAATGAAAACAAAATCATAAGTAAAACAGCAAACGTTTACACCACGGCATTATTGATTTTAATTTTTGCAAACTATGTTTTCTACCAGAAATATTGCCTAAATAGAATAACGACGAACGACCTTTTTTGTTGAATTTTTAATTTAAATGATGAATAAGAAAGTCGTTTCTTGATTTTTTTTTTGTAGTTTTTTTAATAAAGGAACAAAAAACCGTCCTCAGTATCAGCATTTTCTTTTTAAAATTAATTTTTGATGGCTGTATTTCTAAAATTGGAACGATCAAAGTTGCTCCAGGAAAATAGTAGGTACTATTTGAATCCAGTGCTAAAAAAATATCTTACTATTCCTAAAATGTTACTTGAAAATATAATCACACTGTATACACAACTCTTATATTAATGTTAATTATACCGTGCTCAGTATTCAGTAATATATTTTTTGAACATGTCTAGATTTTACTGTGTTTTTATTTTTGGCCCGTGCACAACTGTTCTATCAGAAATCTCGGTCCGATTTTCAATTTCTGGCGTAGTTCTTGGTAGGTAGAGAATTTTGTCTTTTTTAAATTTTTCCGTTAGTTTTCAAATTAATTTGGAAAAATCGGAAAGAAACTTCGGAAAAACGGAAATACTCGTAATTACGCAATAACGATTTTTGATATTTTCGATTTTTAAAGTTTTTTTGATTGTAATTCAGTTGAAAAGGGACGTAAAAACTTACCATCTAATAGGTGTTGATATTATACATATATATATATATTTCTAGACCTGGTGCTTTTGACGAATTTCCAAATCATTCGGGAAATAGTTGAGGACATTTTTAGTCATTTGCCATCTGAAAGTTTTTAAAATTTTTAATTTGGTTTTATGTCGATGAAATTATTTTAATTCCCCGAAAATGCTCGAAAATTTCATCTGAGGTTCATCATATTAACTTATTTCTTTGTCTTTAAAAAAATATGTTTATTTCATTTGGTACGATTGATACGAAACCATACTATTATTTTTGACGGAGAATCAAAAATTAAATTAAACTATATTAATCCGTTGATTAATTTCTTGATTTTTTTTTCGTCTGATAAGTAAAAGAATAATGAAATATATTATAGGCTTCCTGATGTTAAATTGAATTTTGAAATTTTGCATTTTAAATTATTTTTTAAAAATGAAAATTATTATTTCTTGATATTATACAAACAAAAAAAATCATTTTTTTTACAATAGGTAATATTAATTTTAATTCATAACAATACTAACTATTTTAACTTAATGCACTTAATAATTTTAACATTTTTTGTTATTTTTATCGCGCTGTTTTGTTATTATATAATAATAAGTAATTCCTGTAATTTATGTGCAATTATATTATATGTACATTATGTACATATTGTGTATGTACAATTATATCATATGTTTATATATAATGTTTTTTTTCAAGTCCTTTTTATAACTTTATTTCGCGATAATCTTGTATACATGTCTTTACTACGTTAGGTGCACATATTTGTATAGGTACCGGTACATTTTATAGTCTGAATCGCTGTAATCCAATGTCTCGAATATATAATAACCGTAAAATATTATTAATCAAAATTATATGTATTTCGTGGTGTTGTTTTTAATAATAACTATTATCAGTAATCGTTTAAGTGGGTAGCTGACTCCGCCCGCGTGGGACGAAGACGAAAAAGAAGAAAATATACCAACTACCTATATAGATATATATATATATATATATATTTGTATATTTTTTGATTTTTTTTTCTGATTGGCTTTCAAATGTATAAAATAAAAAATAAATATTTTTTGTACTGCGTATTGTAAATTATAATTAAACAAGTAAACGTGCATGCATCATTATAATACTATACTTCGATAATATTTAGAAAAAATAAAGAGCTGATGAATGTGCAACCGTTGTTGGTGGGTAGTCGGAAAGGTATAGGATACACTAAGTTATTTAGTTTATATCTATACGCGTGAAAAATCATTGCTCGGTTAAATATGTTTTGAACTTGTGCGATTTTCGTCAACATTTTAACTTTAAGTGTTTATAAAAAAAAAGACTACTACAGCACGCTCAGATTGTTTTATCGTTAAGTACAACTTATACTGAATCTTGTATTAAATTTTCAAGTATTTTTGCGTTTTCACAATTTTATCTGTACAACCAAATAAAAATTAGGTGTAAAAAAAAAAAAATAATAATAATAAATTCGTTATTGTCGTAAACTTTCACGGTTTTCCTATATTTTTCTCAAGATTTCCGATTTATTAAGGAAACTATATGGTAAATCAATACAAACAATGTTCGTATTTAGAAACTAAACAAAATGTTCAAAAACATACTTCTCTTAAAATTTAGAGCAAGATTTTTAGTAGAAAAATATAATTAAAAAAATAATTTATTAATTGACGTATATTTGTTTCAAAATTGCCTTCTTAATGCATCAACTAGATTGAAAAATTTACAAAAACGCTCTCTTGTTGTTTTTTGATTAACGCTAGAATTTTGGTAGAAAAGTTGTATACAAGCACAAAAAAAATAAATTCACACCCGAAAAAAATAATAAATCCTCTTTTAAATAATCTTATCATTTGGTCGATTATAAAGATTTTACAGTCGCTCTGTATATAAATATATAATTCGAAGTTTAGACACTATACGCGTTGTTTAAACCTTATAATTCGCGTGTTATTAAGAATATCCGCTAAGTGCTGTTTTTTACGACACGTGCCGCTCGCGCGTATTTTAGTAATTTTTCCATCGTAAATAAAATTTAAAAAACCATTTTTAGGCGTCTCGCGAATGTTTTACGTTATTATTAATATAATCACGTATTATATATTATAATGACGTACGCATCTCTAAAAATACGCAATCGTCTATGTATTATTATTATACTATTAACACTATTACACATTATGTTTTTTGTGTTTTAATTTTGGCACCGTGATTTTTTTCTTTTTTTTGAAATTTTATAACTATTTCAGTTTACAATTTTTGTTTTTGCTAAGCTTGGTCGTAACTCACATTTAATTAATTAACGCGCGAAGAAGGAATTTAATAAAAACCTGCAAGGTGAATTAATGTACTATAAAGATATGATGTCAGTTAAAAGCTTTATGTTCGAGGACAAGGAACCCTGTAATGGCTTGGCACGCTATTCGAAGAAGCGAGGACGATGAGAGGAGTTCTGAATCGGAAACCATTACGGACAAAAGACCTCGGGTTCGGTCTAGGAAAAGATGTCGCGAAGAAAACCTTGATAGAACGGGAGTGCAAGCGTGGATGACAGAAGTATCTATGTAGTTTGCAGGATCGAGTATAAAGTGCAGGAAGGAGATTATGCAGATGGCGACAGTTATTCTCAGAGTGGTACATTAAATGCCTGATGTAAAATAATAAGCGAAAGATGAAACAATCAATTAATAAAAAACTTACGAGAGAAAAGACGTTGAAAAATCACTCGGTAAATCATTTATTATAGTCATATTAATATTATATACTGTATTGTGTAATACGTTTCATAATTTGGTATTTTAATTCAAATCCACGTGGAATGTATTATTCTGTTATTTTATAAAATTAAAATTTTAATTTTGGTTAACCTTTAGGTACTTAACTTTTAACGCGAACGGGTTATTCGAGTGTTTCAGAAATCGTATACATATATATATATATATACGTTTTTTTTTTAAATTTTTGATTTAGGTGGTATATATAGTATTTTGTTGACTTTTTATTTATCACCTAGGAACACGGTATCAAGTCAGCTGCGTGCATATATATTATACAGTTGCGTGAACTACACCTGTATCGTTTTTTCGTTATTTTAGGGGAGCGCATTTTCACAACTTCATGTAACTCACTGAAATGACGGTAAGTGAGTAAATAATGTATAGCGCAACTGCGCTTTATATTATTATTATAACGCACTCACTGGCGATGCAAAAGTCTCGTCGACGGCGGTCGCACATGAAAATGTCGTTGCACAGGGTACGGCGGTACTCACACACGCTGCAGCACACACGGTAAATTGTGCAATTTATAAATCGTATTTAAAATATGACGAGCCGTCTGGATACGAAAAGCGTCTGGTTTTTTTTTTTTTTGTTACAGCGCGCGCGTATAGCAGTTCTGTTCTCTTCACTCCCGCATTTTACATGCATTATCATGTACACACACAAGCTGCGCATGATGCAGGCATACAGGTAATGATAATAATAATAATAATAATAATCGACGAGCAATAAAATATCGGATTTTATCGCGGGTGTCTTCGCGATCCTCCCGTACGCGAATATAATATAAAGGTAGGTAAGTGAAAAAAAAAAAAATAGTATATAAAAATCGTTTTTATACCTATATATATAAATACTATACTCTTGTGCATAAAATATTATCTCGGTATCCCGCGCTTCGCGTCTCTTTATAATATTTCTCCTGACCAACCCCCGTCCACCTGTACAGCACTCCGTATCTTCACCGACTCTTTCTGACGGTCGTCCGAGGTTATGCACGCACACACGCACACACACACACACATACACACACACACGCACACACACACACACACTCGTATGTGTATATATATATATATAGATAGGCATACTACACCGCCTACAATAGGATAATATACGCGCGAAAACAGACACCGGGTTCGCCGCGGCGCGAAAACGATAATAACTCTCGGCTGTTTGGCCGCCATCGATTATTGTGTACGCGTATACATGCGCACGCATACACACGCGCGCACCTATATACACACGGGACTTATCGCACCAGACAATCGCGGGTTTACTTGCGTACGCATATTACCGACGCATTGAAGCCCAAACGAGCGCGCGACGAGGATACTCGGTTAGGTCGTGGCGATATTGTACGATATTACGTACACGTACTTATACACACATACACACATACATATATATATATATATATATATAGCTTAGGTAGTCTTCGTGGCGATTTATGCGGACGCCGAGTATATTTGCTGCGGTTTTTTTTTTTTTTTTTTTTACCGCGCTACGAATTATCGACTCATAATTTTATTTATCGGTGCCGAGACGACGAAACCGAAATTTGTTCATACAGGTAGCCGTTCAGCCAGCTATTTACGGAGGTAATCTATGAAAGTATTTATCACGACGATAAATTCCCGATACAAAACCGCTTAACGATATTTTAATCTGATCGATAATAACATTAGTTTTAATATTAACATCTATCTATAATAAAATGATTCGTTAAGTGCTCGTAAAAACAAACAGTTTAAATAAAATTATTAATAATATTATTAGTTTATTAACAAAACGAAATAGTTCAATGATATAAAAAAATATTTTTTTTTTCACATACTGTTACGTATTTTGTTAAATTTCGTTATCAAACGTTATCGTTTTAATAATTCAGTTTTATAATATTAATAAATTCGCATAAAACGAAAACAAATGATAATGTTGTTTTCATTACAATTTTAATTATTATAATATTTATTTTGTCAATAGTGTTATGTTTTATTACAAAGACAAAACATATTTATTAACGTTTGATAAAATGTATTTATTAAAATTGTTTGTTATTTATAGTTCGGTGCGTTTTACGACGGTGTGGTTTTCTGGGGTGTAGAATTTAAGACGTATTATAATAAGTGGAATCCGGATTTCAATATAAAACTTGGTGATCTAAGACAATGCTGTACAAGAACACATAATTCGATTCGTGTACCATACCTATACTTCAAAAATGAAACTTTTCAATTTTAATTTTTTTTTTTTATTTACCATTGCTAGAGATTTTTGATTATAAACATTTTTCGGTTATTTTGTTAGTTTTAAGTGTGTATTTATGTATTGTACAAATGAATAGTTTCAATTTAACTAATTCAAAATATTATCTCAAGCAATAAAATTAGATTGAATTGGTTTTATGTATTTTTCCCCAATTAAATTATCAGCTATTAAAAAAGAACAAAAATAAACTAACATGACTGTAACTCTTTTGATTAAAAATATTTTAGAAAAAAAATAACGATGGTGTATTTTGTTCTCTTTAAATTTAATTAACTGCGTTTAAACTCTATACGATTTCTACCTAAATGTTTACCACGGTTTAAGTTTTAAGTTACGTATAATTTTTCTAGATAGCCCGTTAATTATAGGACTGTGCCAGTAAATAGTCCACAATAAATGTGGACAGTAATAATACATATACGTGTAGGTACTATATTATCTATCTCCACATGGAGAATTATTAAAATTTAAAATAAAACTCCCGTTGGTGTTTCACAGATGTCGGGATAACAGACGACGATATAGTTTTACGGTTTTATGATTACTACCAACACGGTTTATTCAACTTTCTAAGTACATAAGTGCACGCGCCAAAGGTTCGTATAAATCGATGTACGCAAATAAAAGCTTATTATTAGTTAGATAATCGTCAAATACAATTTTCTTTACTCGTTTTTTTTTTTTTCTAATTTGAAATAATCCTAAATATCTATACTTGAATACTGTCGTATATCCCTTTAACAAGGATATCGCTCAAACATAAACTGGAGTAACTAAAAGACCATGAACTAACCGGTTTCTGGTTGGCACTTCAGAGTTGATTGGACTATTAAATTATTTAGACTTTATCCTCAGCGATCATAAATTAATCGGTTACAGATCGGACTCAGAATAAAAGAGAAAGTATTGTGACTACTCAAAAACAAAACGAGATTATACACTGAAACGTATGCGACACAAAATAAAAATAAACACAAAAGTCATTGAATAAACTATATTAAAACTAAAGAACGTAGTCCGGTGGCGTCACCGCACGGACTTTTTCCTTCATTCTCTCTTACTACTCCTTTTATAATCGTACGATATTAACAATTTACCCTACTTCTTAAATGCTACCTAGACACTTTTTGTTATTACAATTTCTGAATGCCGACGAACAGTATTACCACTGCACAATGTGTCATTGACACTCCGCATATACAACAATACCTATAGATGTATTCCGATTTAAGTACAATAGCGTTAGATAAGTTGTATGTATAATAATTTCCTTAAAATTTTTTTTACTCCACTTGTTGCTAATAGTTAAACATAATAACGAAATTCGACTAATAACGGCGTGTATAAGTCACAATATTTCGGGAAGTAATGGTAGGTACTTATACCTATATTTTCATTTTCAATGCTTTTTGTCCGCTCATTGTTCAAAAGATTAATAAATCAATGAACCTTCTTTCAACACTCATCTATCTTTAGTTTTCAAAGAGGTCAAATTTTTATATTATACACTGCACTAGTGAAGAATGGTCGGGTTTTTATTTTTTAAACGCTTTTTTTTTTTTTTACTTTTTATTGATAATATCAGTAGTTTAATGTGTACGCGTGCGTCGAAATTTAAAATTATAAATTTAGTTTTACATTGCTAGAAATGTATTACTTCTTAATATTACTTATTTTAATACCGGTAGAAAAAATTGAATAAATCATAGCAATAATAACTGTAGTTAATTACATGTGTTACTGTTCTTCATCAATTATAATGACAAGTAGAAAAAATAAAATACTAAATATATATGACCTTTTACCTAAACGTATAACTAAATACATTCTTTTTTTTTTTTTTATAATTTAGATGTGTTTATACATATACCGGGTGATCAATTATTAACACGCGCGCGCCGTACCGCCGCACAAATGATACTCCACTATTCTCCTTCAACCCAAACTTAAAAGTGGAATAACAACGGATTGACGGAAATCAAACACTATAATTGTAATATAACACTATAAAAAACACTATAATATAATGCCAACACTATAATTTATTTTTACTAATACTCCGTCTATTTATAGACATTTTAATATAGGTTGCCGTTTGAAAACCGTAAGTAGGTAGTGGTTTCACCCCCAGAAATAAGAATGACAAAAAATAATATAAACGTAAAATTGTAGAGCTGCTTGTTTCTTGAACGTTCTAGAAAACAAATTCCGAAAAAAATCAATACTTTCCGAGATAATAAGTGTACCCACCTAAATGAATCACCTGGTATAATATACAGGACGGAAATCCGAAACCATTCAGATTTTTTTTATATTATTTTCAAGGTTTCGGAAAATTGGATATTCATATTAACATACGAAAATAACACACACACTTGTCATAATATATTTGCATATTCTGGCATTTTTTTTTTCTTTTATAATAGCGTCGAGGCAATTGTAATTATTATACTGCAGGAACTACCCACTGAAAACGTTGCTCGTTCCTGCACCATCATAGTCGTGTTTGTTTTTAGTACGCACAAACGAAAATACGTCTACCAGTTTAAAAAAAAAACTGTAAAATATATGTCTACAGTTTTTACATATACGTATTGTATAATTTGCGCGATACCTTTCGACGTGTATAATTTTGGGATCAATTTTCTCATCGGTACGTTCACGTACGCCCCCTTCCCGTTGCGCATTAAAAATGTCCGGCTCGACGCTAGCGACACGCAACACGGGCCGCCACCGAATGGTTTTCGTTCGATATGAAATACAATGCGTACTGCAGCGCGCGCGGCGGGGCAAGGTTGCGCGGGACAGGTAGCGATGAAAGGAAAAAAAAAAATGAAAAAAAAAAACCCGCCTAAAAAGCGGCCTCGTAAACGGCCTACGCGCAAGCAGGTAGGTAAATATTTGACAATGTTTCAACGGGCTTCGGCGGTGGCGGCGGCGGCGGCGGTACACTCGGTTGGGTTCGCGCACGCGCGCCCGCCGCCGTTACGCCGTGAATGGACTGATGATGTCACACGCGTCTGAGAGGCGCGTGCCCGGCCGGGCCGGGCGACGGCTACGACGACGGCATTTGCGTGTCCGTGCGCCGCGCCGTTTTCGCGGTCACGGCCAACAAAGGTCGATCGCCCGTAACGATTTTCCGGCCGACCCGTTCGGCGTAGCGGCCCCGACGGCGGCGTCGGCACAACACACTCGGGTGTGCGTTACGATGTTGTGCCTATGTACACGTCGAAAAACGATCGCGTGGGGTCGCCCATTCACACTTTTGCACCATCGCGGCCGTATCGCACGCACATGCACACGCACACGCACACGCACGCACGCACGCACACGCACATGTATATTTTACACGCGTATAGGTACGTACGTATACGCGCCTAAGTATACGTTGCGCGTTTTTCGGAAGGTTAACGGTCCCGCCTCCGCGGACGTCGCGCGACCTTTAAGTTCACCCCGGATCGATATTGGGGTTTTTTTTTTCCCTTCGATTTTCACTTTCGGAGATATACGCGTAAATAATCAGTAGGCACCATAGCCGGCATACATGTGTATATAGTAGGGCGGTCCGAATCGTTTTTTCCTCGCCCGGGTCATCTTTACATATTATTTATACGAGCGCAACAATACCGTCAATACTTAATCACGAAAAAAAAAAAAAACAAAATTCTAGCAGCGATCTTAGGTGCGAACAACGCAATTTGTATGTGTTTTTTTAATTTTCGGTGTAAATAATCGCCGAACGACAAATGACATGATGGTAAATAATTTGATTGTAGATATAGGAAAAAAATATGGTCCTGTATATTGTACTATATAGTTGATGAGAAGAAAATCAATACTGACAAAGTTATTAGTCACGAATCGTACAAATTGACAAAATGTCGATGAACCACCAATCCGAAATTACGCAGTAGAAAACATATTTTTTAATTTTTTTTTTTCTGATTCGATATGTAGCGTCTTTAACAATCTATAAATCTTCGCAGTCTTGATTCTTTTAGAATTTTTAAATGTGAATAATATTGAACAAAGTAAATAAATTTAAAAGTGTAAAAAAAGTAAATTTGAAGTTAATTTTATGACGAATTCAAACATGTTATTAAAAGGTTATAGCAATACACTCGCCCCCGGTGCATCAGTCATGCGCAGTTCTAAAAAAAAAAAAAAAACCTTAAAATAAGAAAATAAGAGCCTCGTAGCCTCGTATAATGTCTATAATTCTATACATCCCTATTAAGTTTCCCGTTTAGTTGTTTCGTTGTGATGTTGGACTTTCTGCGGCACCGTTATCGTCGTACTTGTATCATAATATAAATATAAATATATATTAATTTCGTCTCCTAAATTGTTTTATACCGCAGACGTGTACCCGGCGTGTGATATTGACTGTCACTTGAGTCAATTTCCTTGTTACGACAAATGCGGCACAGTCGTTTAAAGAAATCAAAATGTGATTTTTCTTAATATTACACTCGTCTGACTTTACGGCGCGCTGTCACGCTATAACTACGTAACATACTATGTAGAAGGTAAATTAATTTCTTCTCTTTCCCGTGTCGAGATTAAATAATTGATAACAATATAAACGAGTAGATAGGTCGTTAACACTATTATGATGTATAGATTAGATTTAGTCATTTTTACAATACTACAATATTTGTATTATTTTTTTTTTTTTTTTAGACAACAATATAATGTTATAATAACGATTCACTCTCAAAACCATACAATATTACAAGATATATATATAAAAAAAAAATTATTAAATTATTGCTAGTCTGTTGTTTTACAACTTTTCTCTGTAGTAAAAAATAACAAACAAAAACGTTTAGCCGACCAGTTATCTTAGTGCATTTTATTATTCTTATAATAATAATATAATTTATGCAGCATACTGCACCAGTAAAGTTAAAACATATATTCGTATCGATGCGAAAATTTTTTTGGAAATTATATTATATAATATATAAAAGATATTTGATTCGCGTAAAACGTAAGGAAATAAAATGTTACACTCAGCTATTCAATGTTTACTTATTCTACGAGTCTCTTTGGATTAAGTTAAAAAGGTTTTAATAATATTTTAGGTTAGTGATATTAAAAAAAAAAAAAAAAAATTGCTTTTTTCTCTACATTTAGAACACAGTTTATTTTCAAGTTGACCGCAAGCATACCGAGTGTCTTACAGTGTCATTCTTATCCTCTGCTAATTCTGTTGATATTCATTATTTTTTTCAATCGGGTTTTGTGCGAGAGAACACCCTTATTTCATCCCTTAGTAATTGAAAAAAAAATAACTTTTTATTTTACCGCTTTTCAAAATTTTCAGAAAAGCAATTTTGTAAAAGATATTATACTAAACATTTTAATGTAACATGCATTCATGTCCGATCAATATTTTCTTAAAAATAGCCGTTTTAATTCCTACAAAATCGGTGTGAAAACAATTAATTTTAAATAAAATAACACGTTACGCGATACGGATTCACAATCAGCACGGTAATTCCTTAAAAAAAAAACTTCTATTGAATATTAAGTGTTTTCACGCCTCTTTTCTATACATTAAATCCACTATAACAAGGGAACTATTAATCGGAAATGAATGTATACGATACACTAACGTTTTTAGAAAAATATTTTTTACAAAATGGCTATTTTGAAAATGTTAAAAAGTTGAACAGTGAAAAGTTATATTTTTCATTGATTAATGAATGAAAATACGAATTAAATTTTTTTCTACATATGTTTCCCCTCCCACAAAACCATAATCAATTTGATTTTTGTTTTTTTAATCGACGCATTGTATTATCTAATATACTATAGCTGACCACCCCAACGTTTTCCTTATGGCCAATTTATTTCCTTTCTTTATTATTAACTGTTTAAAAAGTAAAGTTGTTAATACATCCGTGGAACTGCAGAACTCCGTCACTAGAATCGAATTTTTCTTCACCTATAATTTGTACAATAGAATTATTCTCTGCAAAAGAATAAAAAACCGAATGATGTAATGGTATACAATAGATACTATAGTACCTATATATAGTTCTATAAAATATAAACTAAAATGCTTATACTGAAATTATTATATTATCAATCGATAAATTTTGAAATTCGATCAAACAAAAAGTTAAGAAGGGGAATGAAACTTGGAACTCGGGCATATTTTTAATGCTAACTCTATCATGTATGTACCCAATTGTATCCTCCTGGCGTCATTTGGAGAGTTTGTGTAGAATTGCGCAAAATTAATATAACGTCTTTTACCCGCAATAATATTGCTAAATTCATATTTAAATTAAACCCAACTATTATCACATCAATCCTCACATAAAAAAAACTCTAATTCCCAAGTTTAAATTAATTTTACCTAGAAGAGCAGCTATAGAAATAACTTATAGTAGCGGAAATATATAATATCTTAGGAAGGTTGTTATTCTTATTATTTTTTTAGATTTATTCGAGCTTACTTCTTGGAATTTAAAACTTTAAAAAAATAAATTGTGCAAAGTTTCGCAATCATTATACAATCTTGAGATGTGTCTCAAGAAGTTTGAAGTTAACAAAATGGATCTTTTTCGATTTTTGCATTTACGATCTAAAATATTTATGATATAATAATATTTTTTCAAATTAAATTTGTATACAAATTATTTCTTGTGCCTTTTTCATTATACATATCCCATTCACCTAGAAAATGAAAAAAAAAACTCGTTTTTAGTACTTGATTTGTTATTTTATACGTAGATGAGTTGTATAACGGAAAAAAATACACATACAAACGATTATAGGAAATTCAATTAAACAAATATTTTATTTTTTCCTTATTATACGTATATTAGGCCATAATTACAAAAAAAACTAAAAAGTATAGTTTTTGAAACTTAAATCCCTTTGGGCATGTCTTAGGGTTGATCAGCGTTTATGAACGTTAACAGAAATCGTTTTTTTTTTTTTTGTAGTTTTGACCAAATTATGGTAACCCGGTTAAAAATTGAAAAAAAAAATTTCTTACATTTTTGTTTATGACAAGGACCACACTATATAGTAAAATAGTATATATTTTCGGAAAAATTCGACAAAAATCGTTTCAAAAATGAAATCAATCAAAGAAAATCAATTTAACGCTTTCATTTGCACCACCCTTATTAAAGTTATTATAACGACGTGCTGAAGTAGTAAAATTTATAAAAAAAAAAAAAAAAAAACGAAACATATATAATAGCCACTGTGATTATCTACTTATAATTTAAAATCACAAACTTACTACAGCATTAAATTGCGTTGTAATAAAGTCGTGTATTATAATAACTCACGAACTAACTATCTAGATGAGTTTTTATATCATTTTCTTCGCATGTTGGTTGATAATTTATGATTACTTTGCACATCATTATTTTTGCCCAAACCTATATTTTTTTTATAGGAAAACACTACGACCGAGGGACGATAATATTTATCGTGAACGAGGTTATTCGATTTTTATATTGATAAGTGTTAACACTAATAACCACGTGTTAAGAATTGAATGTTTTCATTAACATACCTGTACTTAATCGAAATCTATTCTATAATATATAAAACACAACTCCGTTCATGGAAGAATATGTAGTAAAAATGTACCTACGTTATCGCAGCTGCAACGTCACTAAATGAAATATTATTTTAGAGATATATCTGATTTTGAAATTTTATATTCAATTTACATTTTGCCGATATGTAAAATTACTTTACATATATGTAATTATATTATAATTATATGGTTATTTCAACTTCCGCTGACCTCTGCACAGCAATGTCAGTTTCTTATACATAGATGACGTATGTATCGCGTAAAGTTCGATTATAAAATCAATATTATACATATAGGAAGTATTGTATGAAAATCAATTTAAAAATAGCTATTGATAAGGGATAATTCCAAATAGAATAATTTACTATCGAGATGATGATAAACAAAAAACGCATATTGCAAATCAACTCATTAACAGCGCTTGGATTTTATAGCACTTTTGAAATAAGGGCAATAATATAACCAAGAAACTTATAAACGTGTACTGTAATAATATGCCTTCAGAACGTTAAATTAGAGAAAAAAAAATTTAAATTAAAAATGTTGTTTTTGTCTATTACCTTGTGTTCGTGAATTTTTAGTTATTTAAATTAATAAGACAATGCATTTTAATGAAACCGTAATGCGGATATTTTTCTATTAAACGTAAATCACAATTGTTTTCTACTACAATATTATATTAATATTGTAATTATAGTAGTAGTATTATATAGTACAATTATATTATTATCTCCAATCAATTTAAACGAGCTTTATGAAAAACACAAAATAAACCATACTTAATGTATATATATACTTTTGAAATAGTACCAAAACATCAAATATCTATCCGAAAAAATGGCGGTAATTACATTCTATATTAGAAATCCTTGTTGCATGTAAAACAAATGCTGAGCTCACTCCGTCATTTTTGTCTGTATCCTATTATAATAAGCAAATGCTTTGAAATCCTCTCTAACGCATAATATTACAATAATGTTATATAGACAGTTTATAGAACAAATTTATAAATTGCAAATGATTTGTATTTATATACTATTTATAGACGATAAATTAGGTATGTATTAACATATCATTTTCCGTTTGTGGATATGTTTTGAGTATTTCGCAGTGTGCAATTATTAAATATGTAAATATCAACACTATTACCGCGCGCCGCAGAAATCAAAAATGTCAACACTAAAATTTATATTAAGAAACACTCCATATATTTATGAAATTTGCAATATAGGTTCTCAGTTGAAAAGCCGAAGTTAGTATCAGCACATAACACTCTATAAATATTGTGAAAAATCTAAGTATTCGGCCTTAACTGCACACTTAAAAATTTCAAAAATCAGAATTTGAATGTATGCAAAATTTAACCAAAAAAATGGGGTGAGCACGCTTAGTGAGCGAATCAGTCTGTATACATATATTTTTTTATATTTATGATGTTTACAAACTGATTGTTTTATAAATTCGAACGAAAACTTTCTATAGAATGTGATTAAATCTAGAGATTTTAGAATTTTTATTTTCGTGACAAACCTAATACCAAGTCCCTGCCCAGCGAGAACCGGACCTACCTGTATATTATTATAATGTTTTTAATTGACCACCACAGTGCGGTCTACACCGGAGAACACTATTAAATTAAGTTTTGTAAACCGATTATTACCTACCTAGGTGTACGAATACTAGCGGCAGCAGTGCGCCTCCGATTATTATTATTATTATTATTATTATTATTACAGTGTCGCCCACACGGGACACCTTGGGTTTACTGGCCCTCCGATCGCAATGCCATATAAAGCTATACACGGCCATACCTGTTTTTTTTTCTCTTCTTTTATATTTTATGTATATACAAACGTTTATTTGCGAAAACGGCACGGCGATGGCGTGGTTCCGACTCGAAAAAACCTTATTCAGGGCCTCCGAAAACCGCGGTAGGGTTCCGTGTTCAATATGATACAGCGTGAAACGCGCATTCAAGATAAATATATAAATAAAATATCAAATATTTGCGTAAATTATTCGAGATACATATTTTAATATTAAAAAAAAAGTTTTCAGAAATTTTTTTTTGTACATCTTTATAATATAGGCACAATCACTTGGTTATAGGTACGACTTTGAAAATGTTTTGATAAAACTCATCGATTTTTGTACGGGCGAATTGGCTGATACCAATGAGGTTAATTTATATTTTCAGTTCATATTGCATAGATTTTCTGATATATTCACACACGCACACCAATGATTTCTTGTCGCAGTTTCTTCAGTTATTATAATAGAAGAAACAAATTTCTAATATTCGTCATGATAAAATAGGTCTCACTCGATATGCACATACAAGTCGCGAGTGGGTTGATGACGAAAATTATACAATGCGCCTATAATAATAATATATTATGCAGTTGCACTTTAAATCAAATTTATGTAGAACCATATGGCGTTTCGTATGTATTTTTATAACATTCACGTGACTATGTTTCCCAAAAGTGTAAAAAAGGGTTAATCAACGCGATGTAATACGATAATATCGGGACGGATACAGTTATTAACGTTTTCGATACTTGTATAGCTCGCGTAGGTAACTTTCTCTTTTTTCAATAATGCTTTTTCATCGTCATTTCAATAGTTGATAAAATAAAAACAATTTCTGTAATGTAATTTATGATTATTTATTGGTTGATATTAACGCGTTATCAATGTCAACAAAACGATTACGTACACTACGTACCACACCGCGGTGGTGTTTGAAGTGTGGTGGTTATACAATTTCACGAAACTCGAAATATTGTGTTTTAGTTTTAAACCATTAGCAAATACAATTACAAATCTTAATTTATTATGTCGCATGTTTTGTTTGGAAAAAAACGCACATGTCACACTCTGGTTAGGCGGAAATTTATTCATTTAGAAGGCGTGCCCATTATGTCACTTTAACAATTTCCGGAATTTTATTTGCTGGCACTGAAAATTGTATAAAACCGACCTGAGCCCTTCTTCCGCGGGACGAAATATTCACTTAATGAACCGTTGACGCTATCCAAAATTATGGCGGCACTTCTGAAATCGTTTACCCGGTGTAGGCGTACAAATAATTCCCCGCGTCGTTTAAAACATAGATTTTGTACGGTCCGGCATACGTTTTCAAAAGACCTAACCGACTTAGGTATGTTCAGACAGGCAACTATACATAGAACTGTACGGGTATACCGACGTGAAGGGAAAACAACAAAAACGATATGAGATGGCCGCGTCGCGTGTAATATGTACCAACGCCCGCCCGCAGCGGTTTCGGATGAGCTATTTACAAATAATTGAAGTGCACTATAGATGCGCCCTAATCAATTATAAATACCGGTAATTATAATTATGATGTTTTGCTCGTGCGCACGCCCGTATCTACCTATGCACGTGTAGACGAACGCGAGTAGAGCCCCCGAGGGAAGACTCGATAATACAGGTATGTACGTATTAGGTAGACGTACACGAAAACATATAATATACCGTTGACCCGAAGATGTTATCTGCGTGTGGAAACTATACTATCAATCAGAAACGTTTTATAATTGTAATAGAGATAAAACGCGTGTTCCCCGTGCCTCCGTAGGAAACCGTCCATTTCAAAACGGTTAATATTTCGCGTTTTATGTACCATCCCGTGTAATGGAGCACTTAAAGATCGTGCGTATGTTTACGACATTAACGATAGTCAAAAACGTTAAAAGTCAAGTAATGACAATTGTTATTTTACCATCCGTTTTCATTGCCACGCGCGCGTAATATAACAACAAAGGCATCGTTTCGCGTTTCCACGTTTGCGAATCTCTGGTCACGTTCAGGGCCAATAGGCTAATTTTAGACATTTCGTAAAGAAAACTGCTTGCTACGGATCGTACGAACGTTTTTTTCATTTTTATCAAGATGTACGTGTCTCTTGAAATTTACCATTAATTACTTATCAAGAAACGAAAATATTAAGAACAGTTAACCGCGGGATCCACAGTATATAATTGTCATTACAATGTAGGTATGTGTAACGGGTCCTAATGCCCTGAACTCAACCGAAGAGTCGTAAAAACGTTGAACGCTTTTCTTGCTATATTATCACGTGTAACAGAAAAATATTAGTTTGGTGAGACTTTTGAATAAAGACGAACGGTTCGATACCTCCATACTTAAGACAATGTCCAACATCGTAATCTGAGCGATTATCGGGTACAGATTTCGATGTTTTTATCATACTAAAACGATAACGTGATAATCATGTTCGGTTAAGTATATAGTAGACGCCAATAAATTCGTTTTTTTTTACAATTTGACAATTTTATTTCTAATGTGTTTTTGCGTCTAAATTCCAAATAGCGTTTTGTAATAATAACAAATACCTAATATTAATCATTAATGCCTACACGTTTATATTTTCGATCATAGTTATCGCGAATGGAGTATATTGCTATTCGGAGTATGAAATTATAAACCGTTGGTATCGCTCGAATCTCTCATCATTAACTTTTGAACTCGTGACTTATAACTGACGGTTAATACTACTACACCGACTTTCCTGGCCTTGATATCATAAAGTTCCAAATGACGTTTTAATTTGATATACACGAGCGGACAATAATAATATTTTGACGTTGATTTCATATTGCGCTTGAAAGGATTTTCGTTTCTTATTTTTTTTTATACATATATATTTTACCGATATTATGCGAAAGTTGGCTCGGGTTATACTTAGGGCGAAGAGATGAATATACGTTTTCCGGGCAACACAAAAGTCCACGGGCAACTTGCGAGCACACATATCGTATGATAACGGCATACGAATCCGTAATCGGTGTAAACGGTCGTCGGCCCGAAACGGAAAAACGCTGCAGCGCGTAATGATATACAGTGGATCGGGTTGGATTCCGATTCTGAAATCAGCCGGGCAATAAAACCGAACGTTCGAAGTCTCCGTTATTTCAAATACATTCGCCGTCGCGTCTGTCGATCCTGCGCGGACCTGCGATCGTTGCAACGCGGCGACGTGAATATCAACCCGTAGCACGCGTACGTGCGAGTCACCAGCGTGATCACCGTGCGAGTCTATCGGCGTAAATCTTTGATATAAATATGAAAACACGTGCACACGCACGTACATCTGCCTAACAAACTGCGTCGGTTGATCAATTTCCATTACAATTATCGTTTACGTTCGGACGAATGTCTACCGTCGATTCAGCACGTCACACGCGCCGCGGTACGGGCGTATATTTTCATTTCGACCGTTTTTTTTTCGCAATATTTTCTTTCGATCTAACCGAATCTGCGGCGCCGTCGGAATCGCGCGTATTTTTCCGGGAGTAGAGGGGGTGAGGGGGCGTGAAAGGAGGGTCGGGTACGCGCGGACGCGATATTAATGTATACGGATTTTGAGTGCAGCGTACGTACCTGTTGCCGAGCCGTCCAACCAATCGGCGAACAGCCAATCGTCGGTAACTGCGACCGCCGTGGCCGCGGTCGCGGCCGTCCCGTCGTCCCTTCCGTCGGCCGGCGTCACCGTCACCGTAGCCGCGGCCGCCGCCACGGCCGCCGCGGCCGCCGCCGCCGCGACTTGAAGTCTGTGCAACGCTCCGCTGGTGACGGTGGCCGCGGGCGCGGGCAGCTGCGATGGCGGCGGCGGCTGCATGGACGCCGCGGACTGTTGCCGAGGCGCCGGCGGCGGCGGCCGGTCATCGTCCACCCCCCTCCGACGCCTGTTCCGCAGGGATTTGCGTTCGCCACCGCCGCCGCTACCGCCGGCAACAGTCTTTTTCATGGCCCGCGCAACGCCGTCTCGATGAGTCCGCCGCGACGACCATGGCCAGCGTCAGCTGTGGACGTGGACCATTTGCGGGCAGCCGACCACCGCGCGGACGGCGCGCACTAAACTCGCAGCACTGTCCGCGTAATATAAACGTGTATACGGCACTCGCGCACAAAACCGAGAAAAAAAAAAAAACCAACAAAACCGCAGCGGAAAAACTCGATAATGTTAGGGTCGAGTCGTACGCGGGTGCAGTGCGACGTGACGCGGCGGCCGAAATCGCGCGCTCGCGCACTCTGACGGGTGGGGGAAGAGGATTCGAAAAGTGCAGCACGGTCCGCGGGACTGCGACTCCGGCGACGGCGACGTGGTGTACACCGTAGAGCGCGGCGCGCGTAGAGAAAATATAGCCGGCACCCGCGCGGTACGGCCCGACGGTGTAACAGCAACAGTGATAATATTAATGTGTGTATACGCGCGCGCGTCCGCACCTGTTCGCGTTCTGATCGGCGTTTGAAGGGTGTGCGCGCCGACGATTTTTTACGCGTCGGTCCAGCTGTACGACCGCTGCTCGACGGGCCGCGACCGGTGAGCGGTACCGGAGAGCCGTGTCTCGTCCGTAGGCGGAAAATCCAAGGCGACGTGTACACGAAACGCGCCGGCGGTTTGCACGGCCGCCGACGCGGACGCGTGGCCCCGGCGGCGGCGTTTTTCGTCCGGCGGCGGCGGCGGCGGCGGCGGCGGCGGCACGGCAGCGGTTCGCCGTGGTGTTGACGTCACTGCCATTAACCGGCGTTTATGACGTCACACGCATACGGACGACGGCGCGTATTACGCGCGGGTTTTGACGCCATGCGCGCCCATCTCCCGTAGTACTTGCGTGCACATAGCCGCGAGTTTGTGGAAGTCGCCGTTCTCGTATTTATCCCTGTAAATTATAATTACAATCGATAAGTACGAAACAATTCGTACATAATATACAGAGTGATCAACACATTGTAGTAAGACACTCGTTGTCTCGGAGCTTTAAGTCTTTTCAGAATTCGTATTGTTTAAAAAAAATATATATATTAGACACAAGCACCTCTACAATGTCACCGTTATTTTTTATTACCTCTAATTTTTTTACCCTTCATTCCTAACTGTTGAATTTCAAACGGCAACCTGTATCAAAAATACCATAGATTTTCGTTTAAATACATTCTGATTGTAATATTTTTCAATTTTTATCGTTTCGTCGGTCCGCTGACGAGATATTTAACTTTTTAGTTCTTTTGATGTATACTATTGCACGACTTTCTTACTCAGCAACTAGATTAAAAATACAAAAAAAAAAAACGTTTCCTGCCGTTTTTCTATTGGAACAATATTTATTACAGAAAACGTAAGCCGTAAAAATTTTAAATAATGAAATATTTGTGCCGTAATTTGAAAAAATCGTATTTTTCGGCTTTTATGGTTTTTCCTGATTATCGTGAAAAATACTTTAGACATCAAGAAACGATTTTCTATACTGGCGGTTACATGTTAAAAATAATAAAATTAAAATCATTTATAATTTTACGATTACAGCGATATTTCTAGTAGCAAACATGAGTTGCAATAATTTAAAATTAATGAAATCGGTAATGTCGCGGCGTTCCGTATACATCTGCTGTTTTACTTTTATTTTTTCATCGGGTTTTCCTCAATCATTTTGAAAACCCTTTGGAAAATCAAAAAACGAACCCTCTAATGCATTAACAAGACCTTTCATAAAAGGTACTATACTCGATACATCGGAGCAAGATTCCTTTTTGAAAAGTTGTTTACAGACAGAAAATAAAAGTACACATCGTACAGTAAAACCAATAGATTCTTCGCTTACACTCCAAATCTAAAACGGACGTACTTCGCCCGATGAATGGATTATTATTGTGGGCGAGAATTTAGGAAGATGGGATATAGATGGCAATTTAATGTCTATCTATACGCAATGATTAATTATTGCTAATGGAAAATCATTCTGAGTGTAGTTCATCTATAAGTATTTTGAAAGGCCGTAATATTAACAATTTGAAAATGATACGTTTATACGTTTTTTCCAGGATTTTCCTATTTATTATAAAAACCCCTAAAATCGAAAAATTGCCTATTAAAAAAGTACTACCCAGTAAAATTTCCTATTAGAAAAGATGTTACACTTTGAAAATTGAAGCTAAATTTCAGGGGTAAAAGTTATTCACAGAAAAAAAAATATAATAATAAACATCATTTTAAAACTAATACACTCCTCGCTTCACTCAGAATCTATAACAAATAACGATTTTTAGTCATCCGCACGTTTTCATACCTACGTTTTAGACGGAATTACAAACTCCGTGGAGGCAGTGGCCTCGTCTTGCCCCTCTTCCCCTCGAGAAACCCACGATAACATTTTTGAGTTTTATTACATTGGTGATCAAAAACGGTAGTCCTCTTTTCACGTAGTCTATTTTTTGGTTTATTCGTGTTATTTCTATACACGAGTATACGTCTTTTCCTTTTCATAAAGTTCAACGATCCGTTGCAAATTTTTTTTTAACTCTCTTGTATCCTTTTGGTTTTGTACGAATCTATATTATTTAATTAGCAGTCTGTTAAAACACACACATTACAATATCTATATCTTATGTAATGTATCGTGTAAAACATCCGTACAATAAAAAGTTTCACTATTGATTATTGTTGAAATTACTTTTCCTTCTTATTAATATTTCTGTAATATTTTTTTGGGAATGATATAGTTTAGAATATATACGTATGTATTGCTATAAACTCGTAAGTTTATTTTAGATTTGTTCAGCGTTGGTTAGTAGTTTTTTTCAAAGTGGTTTTTTTTTTTTAAGTTTTAGACAAAGTCAAACATTAATAATAGCAGTCTAGCTTTCCGCCGTCTTTGTTTAGTGTCCAATTGACAGACATACAGACAAATAAAACTTTTCCAGTACTTTTCTAGTGAAAGGAAAAATCATTTCACGTTTTCTCGTGTATATGGCTGCAATTAAAATCTAAAACTACAATAGCAATGTTTGCAGTGATTAACAAGCGTATAACATTTCTTAATAAAACGTAGGCAATGTATTCTTATTTCAACCGTGCAGTCGTTTAATTATTTCTAAAACCTCCAATGTGGTCGGTCGAATACGGCCGATAAACATTTGCTCGACTCCGGGGAATCTCAAATTACCGCGACCGGGAATATGAGTTTTTGATCAGGTTGATTATTATAAAGTCGAATATTATCGAGGAGAAAATCCGCTTCTTTTTATAGCTAGGGTATGGCGTGAATGATTCGGAGCGTTTTCATTAATCTGCCAAATGAGAAAAATGTGTCCAAGTAAAACTGTTTAATGGCGTTTTCACCGCACTCGTAACTGCAATGTAATCAATCGATTTTTTCCCCTCGGTTTTATAAACGAAACGTATTAAGTACAAACGGTTTAAATATATGTATATTTATATTTTTTTAAATATTCTACCGATACAATAATTTTCGCGGATAAATATTACGGTTTTTGGATTTTCCGTTAACGCCGAGTGAATGCGACGTGTGAAAAATTGTCCCCTATCCAGAACGATTATAAATGTGAATAATAATAATAATAATAATAAAAAACCCGATTGCGATTAGTTACGCTCGTGCATTGTGTTGTTCCGGAGGCAGTGAATAATAATTACAATTGGAGCAGTGGCGACGGAGTGAAAGTCGCAGAAAGCGTTCGGCGAAATAACAATATTATTATAGACTGGTTGTTGTGCGGTTAAATATTGTGTTATCGAACCTAAAAAAAAAAAAAAAAACGCAAACGAAGAAAATAAATTAACAATAATAATACCCGTGCGCCGTTTCGCGGCGATAAAACCAGGCGGTACACGCCCGCCGTATTCGTGCCGACCGTTTTTTCATCCACGTATTAAAATGCCGGTTACGACTGTGCTGCGCCCGTTGTACGACGATTTGCGGCAGGTGTCCGCGGTTAATAATGACGTACCGCGTCGAGACAATGTTCGCGTGAACGATACCGCCGTGCCACGCGCGTGCCACTGTTTCCGGGAGCGAAGTCGGACACAGCGTAATTTCGTAATTGACGTTTGTGCGCGTAACGGAAAACGGTTCTCCGCAAGTCGGTTATCAATACCAATAGAGAGGCGGTCGTAGTATTTTTTCGCGGGTTTGTTGTCGAATTTATCGGGAATTAAACCGCCGTAAAGCGACAATAATACATTTTCGCGGTACACGGTTATGTCAGAAACTGAGCTTATGGCCAGTAAAAATCGCGCTTTGAAGGGTGTATTTTTTTTTAATATTTTGTCTGCTCGTTTTCGACAAATTTTCCACCGGAATCTCGCGCCAATCGTTTTCCTTTTTTACGTTTTTTTTTTTTTTTTTTTTATTTATACTGTAGATCACTTTTATCCTAGAAAACATGCTCTGGTGTACGAGTGTAGCACCTTCGATGAAAGTAAATTTTATCTACTTGGTAAATACATTGGTCATTTTTTGATTTTCGAAACGGTATTTAAAATGAAAACGATTAACCGGGGAAGAGAATAAGATGTTTTCACGGTTTCGTAATTTTAAATAAGTGTCGACCACGTTTTCTAGCAAAAGTATGGTTCCAATTGAAAAACGACAAGAGACCTTTTTTGTTGAATTGTTAATTTTGTTTTTACTGATGCAGTTCGTGTTTTGATTTTCGAATAATTTTTTTATAATAATCGGGAAAAAATGTAGGAAGTTTAGGTTAAAAAAAATTACGGCACTTGAAATTATGTATTACCGAACTGCGCTAGAAATCGTTTTTCGTCAGCAATGGTTTGTCGTTGCATACAGATATAAATTAAATAACCGTATGTATCCCACCTTCCCTAATACTCACCCACGACAGTGGCAGCACCCATCCCAGTATCAGCTATTTTTAAACATAATTTTTTATTGGCGACAGTGAATTTGTTTAATATTTCTTCCAGACCATTTTCTTTTGCTAAGT